CCCGAACGTCCGGGTAACGTCGGGCTCCCCAACGTTATCGACGCCGAGTACCCGATACTCGGACCGAGTAGTCAAACACCGAGACAACAATGTATGGCAGGAATCGGCCCTTGGCCTGGGTGGTAAGGGTGATGAAGCCGCAACGTTGATATCAAAAGTTCTAGTCCTAAGTGTTAAAATGTCAAAAAAAAATGAAAAGGGAAAAAACATACAAAGGGCAATAACTACCATAGAAAGCATGCAATGCATTAAGAGTCAAATTATTGAAATTGTTACTAATGCATCCTGGTTCATTTAAAATATAGTGCACTAATTTATAGACACCTACTAAATTGATTTGAGTACAACTGCAATGCAACTAATCAATAGATCGGGAAAAATTGTATGATTACGTGAAAGGAGAATACAATAATTTAAAAAGAGGAAAATTTGCCAAAATATATGAAGTTTCTACATTGCCTAGGTTTTATAAAAACAAAATACAGCCATGCCTCAAATCCTCTTCTAGATCTTCATAATAGATCTAAATCAATTTCTAACACTGGCAATAAAACTTGAAACTCAAAAAGTAGTACAGATCTTGTGGATATATGAACACTTATGTATAATGTGAAATAGACGGTCTAGATAATTTGCTACAATATACACAAGTTTTAGAGTTTAGAATCCTAATTTATTTTCACAACTAATATGTTCAAGCTGAGATGATCGATGTAAAGGTTTCCAAATATTGAATTGTAATTTTGATGAATTATGAGATAAGGCTTTGCTTATTTTGATAGGGCTTCGGCCCTATCAAACCATTTTCCTTTATCAAAATACCCTTAAATATCAACTATTTAATATTTTACCTATTTTCAGTTGTCATCATGTGTATATTGATGGGCTTTTCAGAATTAAAAATATGGGTAAAATATTACATAGTCTGTCTCTCATATGTAGTCTGATAAATTTCTCAAAAAAAATAATGGGACCAAGGCCCGAGTCATTTTCATTCCACAAACCGGGAGAGAGAGAGAGAGAAGAAGAAGAGAGTTACTGCAACATTAAAAAACCATGATTAATATATTTACCAGAAAAGCATGTCGTATAAGTAGAATATGTACAGGAAAAGAAGACATGGTAATAAACCATTGATTGAAAAATCAAAATCAGACCCTGAATCATTGTAGGGCCAATTCTGATTCAGCTGGTCTGGATTGGTGGTTTCTGAGTGATAATATAGTAAAAAAAAATTAAAACCAAAAAATTGGGGGGATTCTGAGTTACCTCATACCAAAATCGCCCACCTGCTGATCTCAATCCAAATCAGGTAGTTTTGAGATGGATCATCGTTTTAAATCACTTGAATAACTGCCGAAGTAGCTTCATTTATGAAGTGTAATGTGAAATCAGCTTCTTCTTTTTCTTTTCTTTTTTTTGCTTTTTAAGAGTAATTCAGTGGGGATTACAGGCTGGCCCCTCCATGTTTTAGAAACAGTCGCCATTTTTTTCAAATTGATAGGAGTAGAAACCAAAGGGGTAGCTGAAGCTGGGTGGTGTTACCAACCTTGTCCTCAACCCCATTCCCAAAAAAAAATATAAATAGATGGTAGAGATGAGCAATTGTTCCACATCGAACATGGCAAAGTCGAGAACATGCTCATTTCCACTAGGGATGGGAATGGGTTAGGTCGAGTAAGGTCTGGGTGGACCCAACCTATTTAGGATGGGTCCAAGCCAATTGGACCCAGCCAAATCTATAAATAACTAATATATAGAAAATAAAATCTATATTTTATATTATAAACTTAATATTAATATATATTATATGCTTAATCTTTTTAATATGTATTTATCCTGATACATACCGGGTCAAGTCGGGTCGGGGATCAAAATTAACCTCACAAGATCTAAGCTGGACTAGACCCAACCAGGGTCGAGGTCAAGGTCAAATGGACCCAAACCTGACCTGTCGGGTCCAAAATCTTGGTCCAGACCAGACTTGATTAAGTCCACAGGTCCACCCCACTCAATTCCCACCCTTAATTTCTACCCCCTATATGGAAAGTACAAAATATGGAAAACCGGACAAAAAGCTCATCTCTGTTGAAAACTGTATGTCTGTATATTTGGGCCCTAAGCCTCTATGGAAGATGTATTTCAAAGCTTATCCAAGATATAAACAAGAGCCCTAATTTATAAGGTTAAAAAGTTGGGTACTATTAAAAAAAGTCACATATGCAATGAACCACCTTCCTAATTTGGATTCACATAAAAGTAAAGAAAATATTCTACTAAAAAATAATTGCAGATTTCTATATTTTCCACACTCCCCCTCAAACCCAAGATGAGTTAAGAGATAGCAACTTGAGTTTGAAAAAACTGAAAGCAGGTCTTATAAACAAAGCAGAAGAAACTTGAGCGGTTGCAAATCAGCAATCTTCATAAACTGACGCCTCGAACAGAGCAACCGCGCATAACATCAAATCATCAGGCCTCCGGAACAGACATGATCGAGTAACAAAAAAACTCGATCATCACTCGCGCATAACATCAAATCGAACATATATAATCGAATAACGAAAAACTCGATCATCACACATGATGGAGTAACAGAAAACTCCACCATCCAATAGGATTGAGTAACGGAAAACTCAATCATTAAACATGATCAAGTAACGGAAAACTTGATCATCAAACAAGATCGACAAATTTGATCATCAAACAGAACGCACTTAGAAGAGCTGACAAAAATCAGCAGCTTATCAACAAACATAGTTGGATATTAGATTTGGAGTTGAGAACAGTAACATCCAAAAACAAATCAAAGAGTCAAAACACGACTTGATAGAGAGACAAATCAGATTGTCGAAACACGAATCAGTGGCGGTTTTACAAATGTTGCAGATCGACCATTTTCATATGTCATTTTCAGAGTTGGATTTAGAGACGGTTTTCAGATCCGGCTTCAGAAGGGAGCACGGCAGCAATGGTTTACCTGAGTTTTGATGTCAGATGAACAGAGAGGTGCAATCAGATTGAGGGCTTCACCGATCTAAAAAACTGCAAACTGAGGTTGTCACAAGTACTTATACTTGCACTTACTCCAAAGGTCCGTCACATGTGCATATTGGTGCACTGTCACTTTTGCAAAGAGGGTAATGAAAAGTGCTTCCAACAAAATCGTTTCGGACGTGACCTTTTGCAAGTAGTTAAAAAAGGCAACGGAACTTATTGACTATTCAAGAGATATTGAACTGATTCAAATGAAACTTTTGCATATTTTTCAAAGTAGCTAGTAGCACGGGCATTGTACAACATATTCATTAAGAGAATTAATGAAGAATAAATAAATAATTATAACTATTTTTTATATTCTTTTTTAGTACTATGACAATCATTTTCCTAAAATAATTTTATCCCTACTTTATCACGAGAAATTTAAAGGCTGATCGTATCTCCGATATTACCCCACTAAAATGAATGTATAGTGGTCATACGAGTCTTGCCGTTATTATTTGGATAAGTTCCCTAAACAACAATAAACAATAGCATTATGTAATTTAAATTTTGAAAAAATTCACTTTTAAAAAAAATAACTCTCTTCTTTCTTTTTCTTTTTCTTTTTTTTTTGTTTCTAAAAAAATCTTTCAAAATTATTTACTTGATCAACACAAGTATATTTCATATAAGGAAAAAGTTTATATAAGGGTGCAACTTTAAAATGTAGAAAAAAGGCACACCTCAAAAATCTAGCAAAAGTTGTTGTTTTGATGGTGAAAAACCCTCTAATTATTCATCTCGACCTCGAGATGTGTGGATGTAGGAAAGAAAGAGATTGTAAAGTACAAAAAATGGTGTATATTGTAATACATTATCTAAATTGTCCATTATCAAGATTTGAGATTTCTATGTGTTTCTAGATCTGCTCGGTCTTTACCATTTATTGAGTTTCAAATTTTATAATCAAATGAGAATTAGTTTTCAGGTCATCTTTCAAATTTCCAACACCAAAATTACATCTTTTGATGAGTTTTTGGTAGTGCACCACCCTTATTATAATCCCTTTCACTATATGTGACAAAATAAAAAGACCCAAAAAGTCAAATCGTTCACTTTTATTATCGATCCTCATATAAGTAGATTCCAATAATATTCATATGGTCAATGCAACCTGTCTTTCCAAATTAAATAAACAAAAAGAAACAAAATATATTTATCTTACATTCAAAAAAGAATGTCCCTTATAGGCTATAGAAATTGTATTATAGAAGATGAGCATTTCATAAATGAAGCCAAAAGATTGTATGCTCCCTCAAGAGCATATACTACACTAACTCCTTCATCTAACACTATTTAAAGAGCATTTTAGGATCTAAAATTTTGTGATGTAATCTCCTCGAGCTAGCAACCAGCCTCAAAAAAAAAAAAAAAAAAAAGGCAGGGGGATTTATCAAAACCCATAGCTAATTTAACACTTTGTCCAGTTGCAACAATTCAAACCCAAGACCATGTGTTTTTTCATGGGTATTTTGAAATTAAATTAAAAAATATTTGTAAAGTGTTAAATTATTAATCACTTATGATTAATTTGATAAATTTCTCAAAAAAAAGTACTTTCTCATAAGAAAAAACAAATCATCCTAAGATTGAATTAGACAACCGATTCTTGAACAGTAGTAATATAAGTTTTTACGAACTGAAAACTCCTCTCTTTTTTTAAAATGCTCATCTAATGATTCTAAAGTTGGTTCCGAAGTTTTTTATTCCAAAATATCCTCCTGACTAGTTTTTGCCAAAAAAAAGTAAGTGTATAATATGCGCCTCATGGAGTACTCTACATCCACACACAAATAGATTATTGAAGGAAAATGGTTAACGCTATTAATAAGTAAAGCCTCACCGCATAATTCATGGAAATTGCAATTTAAGCATTAAAACCCTCTAAATTGATCATCTTGGTGTGCAAAAATATTAGGAACTCGAGTTCTAAAAATAGTTTAGATTAATTTCTCCCTAAAAATAAGTGTTCACTGATCTGCAATATCTTTACCATTTTTTTAATTTCAAATTGTATTGTCGGTGTTGAAAATTGATTTTATAGCCATCATGAAGATTTCCGAAACCAAAAATACTTTTCAAATGAGGATTTGAGGTAAGACTTTATTTTCTTTTCATAAAGCCTAGGCCCAATAGAAACTTCAACCATAAAAGTTATGTTGAAATTAAGTTCCAAGGTGTACAGTACATAATGATACAAGAAACAACGGAAAAAACAAAGCCTTTGAGGCCTCAGCCCATCCGCCATGCCGTATTGAGGCGGCCTCGTTTTGGCCTTTCTTTAGCTCTAAGTTTTTGTCAACATTTGTTTTTCTACAATGTTTGGACTCCAATAATGTATATATAGACAGTGCATCAGTTGCAAAGAGTGGCATAGAAATTGAGAGCTTTAGAAGCCCTAGAAAACCAAAATTCCCATGGCCCAAAAGCTCCCTCTCCTCCTTGCCATCTTGTTTCTACCAGCCATTGCTTTGGCTACTGATTATGTGGTTGGAGAAGATAAAGGATGGACCATCGACTTTGATTACAATGCTTGGGCAGAGGGCAAAGACTTCATGGTTGGAGACACTCTGAGTATGTCCCATGAATTTCCTTGCGCTTTTGCTATAAAAAATATACTACGAGACTATTTACCTTTAGTACAAGGTGTTCACAAATTGCGTCATTAGGTATGTTTGGGAAACAGGTCTTGTCTACCTAGATAATGACTTGACGGGTTAGGTCTCGATCGATTTGACATTGACCCAACCTTGGCCAAGTTAGGTTTGGGTCCAACTTGGACCCTATCAAGTTGGGTAGAATCGAGGTCAGTGTCAACTTGACATGTCCCAACCATATATATATATATATATATATATATATATTACCCCAATCTTTTTCAGGGGTATTTTTATTATTTAAAATCTTGTAAAATATTGTTTTTATATTTTTTTCTTTGCGCCCTATTTTTTAGTACACACATACGAAATTTTATTGTGACATATAAATACTTGAAAATCCTGAAGATAGACAGCTAAAAATGATTGTGACCTCTTTGTGCTAATAGTAAAAAGACTTTATAATATACAATCCTATTTTACAAATTTACTAAAACTAAGAATGAAAATATCCATGATTATATAATGGAAAAATATATAAAGAGACCGTTTACTTATCAAATTAGCCACTAATTTTCATCAAAATGTGCACCATGCAGTATTCAACTATCCTCGAGGCCAACACAACGTCGCAAAAGTGAACGGCAGTGCTTTCCAAAGCTGCACAAAGGAGCCAAACAATGGGATAATGGATTCCGGGAACGACAAAATTACCTTGGCTACCCCTGGGAACAAGTGGTACATTTGCACCTTTGGGCAACATTGTGCAGTTGGTGGCCAAAAATTGAAGATCAGTGTGTCTGATATGTCGATGTCCCCGGGCATGCAGCCGACCCCGAATCCTACAGCACAGAGCTCTGCAAGGACAAACATGGCCAATGGATTGGCCATCTTTCTTGGGGCCATCTTTGCCTCATTTCTTGTCATCCTTAATTGATTGTAATGTTTGACAAACCATACTGGTTCTAGACTATGATGAATAAGAGGGTCATGGGTTTGGGTGACTTTGGGTTCTTTCTAATATCACTGTTGCCATTGATATTAATGGTATTGTTTGTGTAACGTTTTGAAGTAAGATTCTTCATCCAAATACACATTTTTGTCTTGGATTGATATATCAGTTAGCTCTGTTTATGTGTACGATTTGTTTTCTTTGGGAATATTTTGAAGTTAGCGTTAGAGATGTGAGTTTTTGTGCAAAAATATATAATTTTTATTTGTAACATTCAAAAATATATTTTTTTGTTGTTGTTTGATCCAGTGATTTCAAAACTAGAGAGAACAGTCACTCTTCGATTCAATAGTGGTGGGATGGATCATCAAACCGATTGGGTCATTGAAAACCAAAACCATAAAATACATTAAAAAATTTAAAAAACTTTTAAGTGTTTTTCCAAGATCAATTTTCATGGGACTGATTGTTTGGGGTTTGGTCAGAAGAATAACTGCTAGGACCAACTGGTCCACTCAAGTTTTAAGGACACTGGGTTGATCCATCATCAATTTTTTTGTTTTGACTTTTCAATTGATGCATAATAGATAGGGAATATGAATAATTTTTGGATGGCAGATTTGGAGCTTCCAAAGGAAATCACTTCTGTATATAGATAGATGGCCTAGAACACCCCCAAATAGATGGGTCATTTGCATCTTGATTAATAACAATTTTACGTCATTCCCCAATCCCACCTCAAAATCATTACTTATTTCAAATAAATGAAGCCAAATCGATTTTTTGAAAATAGAAACAAATTTTTGAAGCAATAATTTATAATAATAATAAAGGTCACAAATTAGTGACAAAATTACTTTCAAACATTATAAACTTTACAAACATGTGGTGACGAAATGATTAGGAGCTCGAATAGGAGGCCCCTATAGAACAAAGGTCCAATTACTCTTGTAGAGCAACCCATAATACATTTATAACCATCATCTTTCGAATTATAGCGCTTAGGGTGTATAATTCTAATAAATGCTACCCAGACATTTATCATGGCATACAATGATATATTGAGATGTATATCCCATAATTCATAGTTATAGCTACTAACTATCGCAAATAAATTGTTTCACTTATAGAAAGTAACAATTATGGTGTTGATGTGCAGGGAACCACAAGATTTGTTGTAGTCTAGATGGTTAGGATACTCGGTTCTCACCTAAGAGACCCGGGTTCAGTTCCTGCACTAAAAGTTCAGTAGTTGCCATACTGCATACTTTGAAATTACAACCAGTTGGGGAATAACAATATACCAAAAAGCCAAAACAACTTTAATAAATTGGTTTTGTTCCAAAAAGTCAAAGGCAAAAAAATTGGGTCAGACATATATCCGTTGTGACAATTGTGCACAAGTTAAGATGCCATTGTTTTGAAACCCCCTTGACTTTCACTTCTATTTTTGCTCCCGTAAATTTGCATGCATAATTAAAAAAGGGAATGCCTAGAAGGGATGAACTATTTAACATTCTATCTATGTCACTATTCCAACGCAAAATCATGTGTTTTTTGGGGTATTTTAAAATTAAATCAAATGTGTAAAATGTTGAATTGCTAATCTCTTTTTGAGTGATTTGATAAATTTCCCTTGAACAAGTGGCATTCCACAAATCCTTAAAAGAGATACACGAGCCATACAATTTACAGAAGGGGCATTTGAGGTGGAGATTAGCTATATGCAAATAGGTGATCTCCACCTGGCTTTTACTACTCCAGTGTTCAACCTTGCACAGGCCCTTAGTGCATGGGCTGCTTAAATATTCTCTCCCGTTCCATCTCTTTGTTTTTTCTCTTATTAACGCTCCTACTTTCCCACATCGAGTTTAGTAGCACAATTTACAGATTCTCTAGATATCAAGTTCTTTCCTAAATACCTTCACTATAAGGAAAAAGATATTGTTAGCCCACAGTCCTTCAGGGGTTGCAATGGACCGAGACCCGACCTGGGACCCAAGAGGTAGACTCAATGCGGGTCTAGTTATAGGTCCAAAAATTGGATTGAGGGGTCGAATGTGGGTCTAAATCTTGGACCTGAACACTATTCGGGTTTGGGTCTAGGTCCGATAATCCCAATATATGAAATATATTTAAATATATACCCGACCCTTTGCCACCCCTATAGTCCTACAAACTAAAGGAAAGGCCCAGATGAACAAGAGAGAGGGGCACACGATTTTTTATGGCCATAGCCGCGGGCTGGTTTACGACACATAAGCAACCTTGGGTTATGTTGATACCAGTTGTATGCATGCTACTTGGCTTCTACCTCTATTAAATTCAATCATATTGAATTTTGAGGGTAGTAGTTTTGGTAATCCCGGACCTGCGGGTTTAATGGGGATAATTAGAAATAGATTAGACGATATTCAATGTATGTTTTCTGGTTCATATGGCCATCATACAGCCAATGAGGCAAAAGCTCGAGGGCTGGGCTATCAGAAGGCATCAAGTCTAGACGGGAGGATACAAAGATTATTGAAGGAAACTCAACCTGATAGGTTGGAGTAATGGAACTTTTAATATCCCCTGGAGATAAAGATCTTTATTTCATAAATTAAGACCCATTCTCTAATCACAACGGGTTGAGATCCATCATTGCTATAAGGAGGCAAATGAGGAAGCTGATTGCCTAGCCAGGAGTGGAGCTAACCATGTTTCTATGGTCGTCAATTTTTTTTAATTATGACTCTCTTGTATATACATTGTAAATCTATTTGGGGATGAATGAAAAACTAGTGTGAATGTAAATTAAAAAAACATTGTAAATCTATTTGGGGATGAATGAAAAACTTGTGTGAATGTAGATTAAAAAAACAATTTTTTTCAAAAGAAAGTAAAAGACCCAAAAGATCTCAAATTTTACACATGCTGGCCCGAAAATTTATCAAAATACTGATGAGAGAGTAATTCAACATTGTACCCATTTGCAACTATTCTAACTCTGACTATGAAATTTTCATGGATATTTTAAATTTAAATAAAATAATAATAAAGTGTTAAAACTGTTCATCTCATATAATTTGATAAATTTCCCTTAAATATAAAAAAAGGGGATGAAAAATGTAGACATGTCCAATTTTCTAGGCTGTCATAGATTGCCTCCTTTTCGTAATTCAACTTAATTATTAAATTTGGGGAAATTGAAAGCCACACCGAACCAAAACTATATAAATTAGAGCACTAACCCATCAAAACTGGTACCCCAACAAAGCCAGCTGACCCGAGGAGGCCTTAGGGAAAGCTATAAAAATTGGAAAAAAACAACAGAAAAAATAAAACTGCAGGACCGATGGGAACCAGGGGTTCCTTAGACCCAAACTGGGTATGCCACAGGCTCCGAGCTGGCTCGGGCATTTCATGCCAGCTCGCTGGTTTATAAAACACCAGTACGACCGACCCAGGGGGCATAAATAATGTGACACTTTGAACAGTGTTCTATAATAGCTAATATCAGCCGTTCCAGAGGTCCGACAGACTTTGACAACCCTGAGTGGAGTTCAAATCATGCTTTGTTTACAAGAGATGGCTGAAATTGCGGCATACTGATCAATAGGTTATCGAAACGGAGTAATGAACAATGTTACAATCGCAGCAAATCTTTTTTGGTGAGCCCTAACCCCCTCTTTAACTCTGTAGAGTACATCACAACTGAAAAGGCGGCCATATAAATACAAAACCTAAAAACAATCCCATAGATGTTTGCAAAACTAAAACTGTGGGAAGCTGTAGAAAAAAGCAGCACCCCTTCTGCATCTTTTCCAAATCAAACATACCCCAACCTTTATTCTGGGAGGGGTGGGGATTCCCAACCTTTTTTTCTTTGACTTCAAATTGGTGCCATTTGAATAGAAACAGATGACTTCTTTCTTGGCCAGAAATCCAAAGGCTGCATTTTTTAAGATATCAATCTGTTGAAAATGATACAAAATGGTTAACACTTCAATGCAGGATGTTGGGTTTGCTTGAGGAGCTTTCTATGCTTAAGGCGATCAAGTAACAAGGAAAGAAATACGAATGGAGTCTCATGTGGGTGGTTTGTCACAAGGGGGAAGATAAATTTAATGCAAGGGACGCCTAAAACCATAGTCCATTAACATCATTGCTGACCAATGAAATGACGGATGGTTGGTCTGGAGGATCAGGCTCTCCATCCCCATCCATCATGTCATCTGAAGGTGATAGCCCCCAATTGTCTGAAAATACACCATAGTCCCATGGGCTTATAGTATATTTTGCCATCACTGATAAATTATTTTATATTTTCATTGGAAATAAAGAAAAGAAGACGTATATGACTCCCATAAACATTGGACTTACATCTTGGGTGGGGTAGGCCACCATAAGCAGCCCCATATCCATGCAAATTCTGCAAAACAAGATCATAAGCCACAATGCTGGCGGAGTTTGATGGATGCAACTTTTCTAAAAACCCAGAAGTAGCATGGGACAACTTCAGAAGCATCCAAGTGCTTTAGATTAAGGGTAGGTTTGTATAAAATGCCCTCCTTATACTATGTAAGTAAGGGACACTTCTAAATTTTGTCTGAAGATGTAGTTCAAGCATCGAAAACCTTATGATGGCTTGAAAAATCTATTTCTATCCTGATCTATACAATATAAAATTCTAAAAATGATACACAGATTGAGCAATATCTACAAACACTAAATTTGGATAAAGCATATCTACAAACATTACACTTGGACTGAGCATATCAACAAATATTAGAAAATCTTGAAAATAGATGGTTAAGATAATTTGTACAATATACATCTTGAGGTCGAGATAACCGAATTGAAAAGGGTTTTCCAACATCATAACAGTCTCTTCTAGAAGAATTTTGAGGTGCACTACACTCCAATGGAATAAAGTTGACAAGTAATACAAACTTTTGCTTCAATCTAATTTTTGCCTATAATGTTGTAATGGTCTATTCTAGGCAACAGTTTATTTACAATTTCCCCATGCCATGAATGACTTTTTACAGACATACCTCTTTCCTTTAATGTAAGTGGGGTTCTAGAAAAGATGGTGGCTAGAGAGAGAGAAACTGAAACTGGGTTGAGCTTTTTCGTCCCTTTCTTTTTTTTTCCTCCTATAACAGAAAATTGGGTTGTCATTTCTTCTGCGTAGTTGTGCTTTGGGAAAATTACCTC